TTAACAGCCAATTGCTGAGTGTCTCCAAGTCGTATGTAGCCATAGTGCTTAGGTGCTGGGAACGGGAAGATAAGTGCAGTGTTCTCTCCTGGCTGCAGGAAGAAGCTCCCGTTTTCTGAGGGCAAACACCGTGGGCAGAGGTGGAGATGCGTGAAAACCTTCTCACACTTCAGCGTGCAGCCGCTTCATTGACCAGGGGATTAGAAAAACAGAAAAGTGTTAGGACTAAATCCTGTAGTTCCTCCCTTGTATAATCACCAAGCCCAATTATTATTAACGAATCTCTCTCTTTGCTCTAATATATGTGTACCATCTTGCTGCTCAGGAACGAGACATCGGATTGAAATCATTTCTTTCATTCACTAGCACCCCAAATATCGCAATTCTGGCATAAGGAATATAAACAATTAAGCAAGACAAGGAGTTTGGGTGTTATCTTTGGGCTCGGGACCTAGTGACACCCCAGATGATTCATTTTCCGCATTCATGCAATCACAAAGGCCCAGTGAATGCTGACTTCACATGGAGGCGGCTGGCATACTGCATCAGGCATTAAAGGCACGGACATTTCTTTAGAGCCGCTTAGCTGAAGTTTATCACGATCATTCAGCCATTGCCTAGCAACTTGGGAAGGCTATCAAGGAGCTCTTTGTCCTCAGGACTGGCAAAAGCAGCCCCTCACAGATCTCCTTATCAGCGTTAGAACATTTATCGGGGGACAAAAAAAAGGCTGCCATTGAGCCAGAGATTCCTGCAAATTTAAAGATACCCCTTCCTATTTTGTGCCTTCTTCCAAATGTTTTAGAAAGTTGTTTCCTGAAGTAGTTTTTACTAAAGACTGTGGGAAACATTCCAACGGAATTTCCTCAAGATATCCTGTAATCCTATTGCTTCATAATCTGGGCTGGCATTGAAAAACACAGACCTGGGCTCATGAAAGTCTATCTTCTCAAAAGTAAGCAAGGAATGACATTTCTACCCCCTTAGCTGGGAAGAGTTGACTCTTCAGGTGTGCAAAATATAAATATGCTGGGCTTCCCGCTTTGAGTGCATTTCTCGACACTTCTTCAGGAAAGGAAGAAAGATACGGTTGTTCCATCCTGTTGGAAAATGGTCCTGAATACCATGTTGGAAGAAGGGCGGGGCTTATTGATTCATTCAACAACTATTTAACACCTTCCTGTGCTAGGCACTGTCATGAACAAAAACAAGCCCCGTCTCTCCTTCATGGAGCTGCCAGAATTCAGTAATTCCCCTGGGTGGAGTATGGGGCAGGGGTAGATCATTTATCTGTGTTCGCTCCTCTATTTCTCTGGGATTCATCTTCCCCTGCATCCCAGCTGCACGGATATAGTTTAAGACCTTGTCGATTTTTACCTGGATAACCCAAAACTGCCACCTGACAGGTCTTCTTTCTTCCAGGCCCATCATCTTCCAGCCATCTCCTGCCCTTCCATAAACCACAGCTTTAATTATGCACGTCTCCTACTTCATTGTCCACTTGGTCCCTGGAGGAAGCTCACACTCCACAGTGTGGCATTTTTGGCTTTGGTCTCCATGACTACTGCCCGGATGCCTTCTGTGTCACCTCCCTTGCTCTTCTCAGTCCCAATTCCAACTGTCCCCAACTTGTAATTCCTGAAGGACAAGACACACTCTTCCTTGGGGCTCTGAGGCTTGCAGCCACCTTTCCTTTACCTTGGAACCCTCCTCCACCTTCACAAATTATTTCCTCCTGACTCTGATCACCAGACAGAGATGGGTGTGCCTGTTCTGGGGCCATTTTCATTCTAGACTTGGATGTTTAAGCTTAGAGAACCTCTCATCAGCAAGCCGGCAGCTGCCAGACCCCTTGAATGTTTATTCAATTGAATTCTCTTTTCTGTCTTTGACAAAAAAGGAAATGAAAAGATATAGGACTCTAGTAAAATTGTCAAAGAGTAGGATATCAATGAAAATAATATAATTCCGGAATAAAACACATACACACACATATATACACACAAAATGGTTAAAGCAGACTTACAGTTCCCTATACTAGAGAAAGTTTCAGTGCAGTGTTAGCCGTACATAGAGGTCACATCAGTAGCCATATACCTAGTGTGACCTAGAGAAGCACTGACCCCAGTTATCTCCTCTGTGAGTCTCATTGTCTGAAATTCTACAATTAGAGATTTATTTCTTAGGCTCTTAACATGTATATCTCTGAAAATATTACTATTCTCTAGAGACGGTAACACCTCAGCAATAATAAATTTATCTTATCCTTACCTGACTATAAGATGAAGGGAAAGATGACAAGAGGGCACAGAGGCCTGAAGGGGGGGAGTAGTGATAGGTGCAAATGGTGCCTCAGGAGGAAAAAAGACAGCTTTACACTTTTCCCTGGAGTTAACCCCTGGCCGAGACATACTTTATATGTGTCTTCAAATAGATTAGGCATTAATATCTGCAAACTGATGACTCATTTTTACTGATGATAGAGGAAGAGTAAAAGGATTTAATATTTAGGGGGAGTTGGTAATAGAATTGTTATAATTTACTTTCCAAGGAAAGACTTCATTGCAATCGTAAAATAAAAGTTATTTGAAACTAAGCTTGGTTCTGTTGAGATATGCGTATGAATGGAGACAGAACATTTGATAGATGATCTCTAGAATTCCCCGTGATTGTCTGGAAATGAAATTGATGGGTAAATCATGTGAAACAAGCTTATCTTTGCAATGGATCTCCTTGCTGTATCGTGTGCCTTGTTGCTTGTATAAAAATTACCTCGATAAAGTTGATTATGATTGATGGTTATGCTAACCAGCTGAACAAACCTATCAGGGGAAGGGAATCAGATATGAAATAAAGGATCACTTATTCAGGTGTGTCAATCTGCCCTGGAGTCATTTTTCTCAACATGCTGTGATTGAGAATGTGCAAAGTCATATATAAATCATGATAATCTATAATGGAAAAAAGCAGCATATACTTTTTGACCTGATGCAATGGTGTACTCCATTGATTAAGTGTATTGTGAAGGAGAGACTTGGCAAGTAGCTGATAAACTAAATCGCCATAAATGGCTACATCTCCCCCATTCCCAAGCTCCTACCCCACACACAAAAAAGTGCCCCAAAATCAGGACTAATGTTCAGGGTGATTTTCAGGTTAACAAAATAATCACTCACCTTCTAATCCAAAATTCTAACTGTGATTTGTGTGGGTGGCTCTAGATGAAAATGGCCAGGGTGTCGGAATCTCTACGAAGCAGGTGCCCCCTTTTCAGCACCTGTTAAACAGTAGTCCTGGCTCACTGGCCGAGCTCAGGACTTGAATTTGAATAGTGAAGCCTGTTGCAGGTTACCTTTGTTGGTACTTCCTTCAAATTCACAAAGCAAAGTTTAGGTGTGCAGCCTCCTTTTGAAGTGGTTTACTTCTCCATATACTTGATGCTTCTGGGTAGTATAGGTAAGATCCTACTGCTGGTGGATCACATTTGGGGAACATAGAGTCTGCAATTCCATCCCAGCTTTTCAAAAGAGATTTGGGGGGAAAAAAAGATGATATAGTTATGAATTCAAGAAAAGAAATATTATAGTGGGCCCAAATTCTGTATTTTATTCTATGGGGAGTTCTTAAAGCCCAATCAACTTATAACAGGCCTGACCTCCTTTCTTCAGCCCGCAGTCCAAGCTAAAATAGCGGTCTATTGTTGGTTCCAGCTACACACAGTAAGATCTGTGTGCTTTCATGCCTACTTAACACTCTTTACCATGTGGGAGACTTACAGAAGGAAAAAAGCAGAACAGTCCACAGTAGAGTTAATGGTCCAGCAGAAATGGCTGTGTACCAATTAGTAGTGTGTGTGCTATGGTTGGGGCTGCTTCTGTTTTAAGGTTCAGGCCATGGTAACTTTTCTCCTAATCAATGTAGAAGCAAAAACTATAATACAAACATTGCCTCCTCAGCTTCCTTGGTGCTGGGTGCTGTTAGGGTTCTGGAATCCTTGAGAGTGTGTGTGTGTGTGTGTGTGCTTGTTCTTACTGTGTTTTCACTTTGTCTAACGAGCAGTCACCCATTCACTGCTAATTATAACTCATTCTTATTACCTCTCAATACAAAGAACATTTCTTTGGGTTGTGAAGAATTTGAACTTTCGAGAAAGAAGTCTCTGTTGTGTTTCAAGTACAAATTTACTTCCACTTACTTCAAATAAAACTTGGTTTTCATTTTTATTTTTGCAACTTGGGTTTTTCTTTATGTTTCTTTCAGCCATTTTGTTCTTTCCTGACTGACTCTAAAATTTCTCTATTTCCAGAGTGAGAGTTAAACACCTACCTATAACTTCATAATAATTAATAGCTTAGACAACAGCTATAAATAACATCAATTGTGATAGTCCACCTATAGCTGCCCAATGTCAGATTAAATTTTTAAAGAAGAATTTGGTGGCACAGATCAGTGTATATCTCTGTGCTACACAATGTACTGTCAGAATATTTTAAGATTGGGTTTATTTGTTTGCTCCAAGGCGGAGGTTTTCTCTGCGTAAAACAATTTAAGCACCTTTTATTTCTCCTTATCTTTTTACAGTTTGTCCATTTCTCTGTAAAAATAAAGAATGGGGGGGGGTGAAGTCACGAAGAGCTAAATGGTAATAATATTTTTGATTGATTTTGCCTCTAATAGAGCTCCTGGCGTCCCCTTTGCTCCCTCCTCCTAAAGAAGAAAATCGGTATAACAAGTGTTTTATTCCTTCTCTTTTATGACTCTAATGAAAATGGTCCTGGGGTGACTTTAATGTTATTATGTACATGATCACACGATATCTGATGGTGTATTGATGTGTATACATGTATTTTAAACCTTATACCACATCCACTCATTCTCACCTGGGATCCCTCAGCTGTGATACCATGACCTTAGTTAGTCCTTGTCTCTGTTAGCGGCCCAGAGGTGCCCGCCTGCCCACCCTGCCTGTCACTCAGCCTTGCCTGTATGTACTGTTCCAGGTATCCACTGTGACAGCGTGTGTACTGAGGGACGCTGGGGCCCCAACTGCTCGCTGCCCTGCTACTGCAAAAACGGGGCCTCGTGCTCCCCTGACGACGGCATCTGTGAGTGTGCACCAGGGTTCCGAGGCACCACTTGTCAGAGAAGTAAGTGTTTCCTTAGGCGGCAATTTCCATCTTTTCTTCTCAGAGTACCATGTACAGAATTATCTCTGTCCCAGTTCATTGTGATATTCTGTTGCAATCAAGGTTGAAAGAGAGTGTCATAGGTCACCCTGTCCTTTTGTAGAGCTGTCCTCGATAGCACTTCCCCAAGAGCTTTTTTTCCTTCCAACCTTCACGACTAACCTAACAGATGGGGCTTTAGCCATTTCTTCTCAGTAATGGTTTCATTGTCTCATTGTCATCATCATCAGGATGTGTGTCTTGATCCCGTCTTAACTCTTGCAAATGGTGTTCCAGAAATCCATTGACCTGTAAATATTTTATTCAGCAATTTTGGCATTGGCCTTACTTCAATTACTAGAAGTTAACATCAGCCAAACCTTGCGGCAAATCAAGCATCCTGCTTGTAGTCTTAAAATCCATGCTATGGGGAGAATAGAATTGCAGAGTTAAAAATTGGGGCTGTTGACATTAGTCCGTAGAATTTTTACGTTAGGAAATGATCCATAAGATTTTACTAAATCTTTTAAGCCAATGTAATCAAGAAAGGATCTATGACTAACTATAAGATATTATACAGTATTCTAATTTTAATTACTTTTTTTCATTAAGAGCTCTGTACAGTCATCCTATATTTAAATCCAAATAATGTCTTGGGAAGAACCTAACTATTTAGCATTTTGCTTATACACTTTTCAATCACAATCATTAACCTAGACCATCCCAAGGGGAACAATATTTTAATTCTGACTGTAGATCTATTTATTGCCAGTAATGACTCTTAAAGAATAAAAGATCAACACCTGGCTTGAGAATATTTATTTGGGTCGTGTTACAATTTATTATTCTATTTCCTTCCTTCATTTATTTGTTCAACAAAAGTTCTCCAAGCCCCTGCTTAAACCTCAAGCTCACTGGGGCCATAAACGGGAAAATAAAGAAGACCAAGTCATTTGCCTACCCTCAAGCAATTCAGAATTTAGTGGCTTCTTTTTATTAGTAAAGAGTACCCTTGTTTCTTTGGTGGTGGTTGTTTTATACTGGGAAAGTTCTCAGTATCATTATATATAAAAAAAATTTTATTATTTTATTTTATTTTATTTTTTTACCCAAAACTTGAACTAGATCTCAATGTGGATTATAAAATAAATACATCTCAGGAAAGATAACCGTTGATTTCCATTCTGTTTTCAGTCTGCTCCCCTGGTTTTTATGGGCATCGCTGCAGCCAGACATGCCCACAGTGTGTGCACAGCAGCGGGCCCTGCCACCACATCACGGGCCTGTGTGACTGCCTGCCTGGCTTCACAGGTGCCCTCTGCAATGAAGGTAAGGCACACAGGCATTTTGGAGAGAGAGGTGGTAATGAGCAAGCCCCATGCAGTCTGTCTTCAGGCTTCCCGAAGGACATGTCTCCCGCTATCAGCTATCCATGCCTCGGGTATTTGCAGAATACCTGTGTTTGCTGAATAAGCTGTGTTTGCAGCTTCTGTAAATATGACTTTGAGCTTTAGAAAAGCTGGCTTACCACTCCAGCTTTATTCTCTGAGCGGTGCTACTCCTCCGTTTTAATTGGAAACAGCCTCTCATGAAAAATCAATAGGAGGAAGGATTTTGACTCCCTGAGCAAGAAGTTATAAAGTCAGAAATGTGATGATGCCTCCTGCTTGTGATGCCTTAATGAGGCCGTTTGACTTCATGTGTTTGCAAAAATGAGCCCATTCAGTATGAGGGACGCTGCTAAGCAGAGACAGCTACTAAACGGGCATCAGGGTTGATGACCTTTCAAGCCGTTTCCTGTCCCAGGTGTCTAGGGCTCTGTGAGATGAGACTGTAATTGTGAATGACTGACCTATAACTTATTCACAGTGTGTCCCAGTGGCAGATTTGGGAAAAACTGTGCAGGAATTTGTACCTGTACCAACAACGGAACCTGTAACCCTATTGACAGATCTTGTCAGTGTTATCCGGGGTGGATTGGCAGTGACTGCTCTCAGCGTAAGTCTCATTTGAGAATAACCGATCAACCATTTGTATTTGTTTCTTTTAATACTCTTTAGGATTGAGGGATGAGTGGTTATATAATCAAGACAAAGAAAATATATGAATAATTATAAGATCCATTATTTTAAGTTTTAAATGGCTTTCTTTCCCCAATAAGAGCTCTATGCACAATAAGAGCTCTATGCAGTGGTCCTATATTTAAATCTCAACGATGTCTTGGAAAGAACATAAATAAATAGCATTCTTGCTTATTCACTTTTTAGTGTGAATCTGTAAAATGGGGGGCGTGTACTCAGAAATTCTGTTCTAAGATTCACTCCAGACCGCAAGTGTCAGCTATTATTTTCCCTTTGCTCTTGGGAAAAAATGGTTACTCAATGATGGGAGACTTTTTTTTTTCATTTTTAAAACTACTTTAGATTTACAATAATGTTGTAAATAATTTTTAGGGGGCCAGATGGTCTCATGTCTTGTTAGGGAGATCACTTCATGGACGGTGTAGAGGCCTGATAACTGCACTGTACATCTGAAGCTGCCATTGAATAATATTATATGTCAACTATAATTTAATACATATATAGTCATGGGATGTGGAGTATAGTATGGGAATGGAGTCAATGGAATTATAATAGATATGTATGATATTGGGAATGGGGGGGCAGTGGATTGGGGGAGGGGGGTTGTCACTTTGTGAGGGGTGAAAATGATAACTTTTGCATTGTTTTGTACACCTGAAACTAATAATAATAATAATAATAATAATAATAAATTTAAAAAAAACTACTTCAGATTTATTTATTGTCTTCAATAGGCCATATTCCCTACTACATGACCATATAGAAATTATAGGTTGGTCCTCCTTTTAAGCAGTTATATTCTTGGAACATTAAAAAGGTTTTTTTGTTTTGTTTGTTTTGTTTGTTTGTTTTGGTAACTCAAATAATTTTACCCCATAACCTTACATCACTATTTCACAGATACTTTATCCGAGGTTCTGATGGCCCTTCAATAGGCAGTGACCACTAAGATTTAGTTTAGTTTAGTTTTTTCAAATCTAAGATTTTTTTAAAAATCTGTCTTAGATTGAATCTAAGATAACTTCAGATTTAGTTTTATTATTTTCTGCTTTTTCTAATTTAGAATTTTTATAAGTAAAGTAGTACTTACATACAACTAGGAACCTTAATATTTAAAACTCTGGAATAGGATGACAAGGGTCAGTTTTAGAGATCAAAGACATGAATTGCATGACTTTGGATCCCTTAACCTCTTTGAAGTCAGATGATTTTTCTATCTGACATCTGCTCAAACATCCTCTCTTCAAAGAGGCCTTCCTTACAGAGCAGATTCGTCATCTTTGTTCCCCTCAGCCAGTTTTTTTTGTATGTTTTTTTTTCCATAGTACTTAGCACCATTGGTGTTCAGGTTGGCTGGTTGGTATGCCTGCCTCCTCTACTAAAATATGAGCTTCCAGAGGGTAGTGAGGACTTTGTCTTATTCTCTGCTGTCTCTCCTGTTCCCTGAACAGTCCTGGGCACGGAGGTGCTGAATGTGTGTCTCTTAAATAACTAAACCTGTAAACGTGAGATGATTTTCACTCTGCCGTCTGTGAACAGATGCGCGCGTCAGTAACAATGGCTGCTGTCCCAGTCAGCGCTGCCACCTGGGTTTCGGTCAGACCGGAGCAGTGTGCTTTCCCAGTCCCTGCTCACTGCTGACCTCTGACACGCAGGAAGATGGGGAGGGGCGGGTGGGATCTGCACTGTCAGGTGCTGGCCTCCGAGCTCTAATGGCGCCCGCCATGTGTGTTGTGGTTTCAGCTTGTCCACCCGCCCACTGGGGCCCGAACTGCATCCACACGTGCAACTGCCACAACGGGGCCTTCTGCAGCGCCTACGACGGGGAATGTAAATGCACTCCCGGCTGGACCGGCCTCTACTGCACGCAGAGTAAGTGGCCCGCTGAGGCCCCCCGGGGGGCCGCCCCAAGCAGCATGCAGCCTCACCCTTAGCACGCACAGGCTGAGCACATCCAGCGGCCCTGGCTTGGGAGTGTTTTGGCCACACCGTGACCTCTAGACATCTAAATCCTCTCCAAATGGGGAAGAGTTGCCATGTCCCAAGTTTTGTGTATCTTTGTCAGATCAGGACACTAGGTGGAGGCGTGCTACCCGTGATGCTTTGCTTCTCCCCTCTGCTTCAACCAGACCCTATTTATATGAAGCAAGCTCCCTGTGGCGTATTCTGACAGCTCAAAGGTTAGGATAAGTGACAGTGATTACAAGCTGGAAGTGAAGGCGACAAACCTCACTGCCTGACTGCACATATGCTCTTAGAGAAGACTGAGTTCAGTGGTTCTCAAGCTTTAGCCAGCTTCAGAATCACCCTGGTGGCTCAGGAAACTGACTGCTGGCCACACTCCCAGATGTCTGATTCAGTAGGTCTGGGCTGGGACTTGAGAATTCACATTTCTAATAACTTTCCAGGTGGGGATGTCAGTCGAGGATTATGCTTTAAGAATCACTAGTTCTTTTTTCCCTTTTATATCCCATCGTGTCCTGACCATTACTTCTCCTATGAGGTGTTTAGCATCAGAGGTTATAATATACAGAGTACTCCACGGCTGGCACCATTGGGGAAATAAAGACTGTTCTCTACCCTCTTGCCTACAACTGAATAAAGGGCATAAGACAGGAAAGCATGTATTATGGCTCTCATTAATAATAATATATAATCTTAAATCACAATAATGACCCGTGAAAGAAAGATGGGTCTGAAATTAGGCAATTCTTGTTTAATACTAATTAGAGACCATAATTAGAGAATAGGCTGAACGAGTCTTTTGGAATGTTCTAGAAGGGGTATGGGACCTTGAGCCATGATTTGAAAAGAAGAATTGGCAAGGAAGGAGGTTGTCTCAAGCATATTCTACCGAGATTGTATATATTCATATAAAGGTTTTTGAGCTCCTTAAAGAAAAGTACGTATAAGTTATTGCTTATAATTCCAAAATTAGGGCCTGTTTCAAACAAAGGAGATTTGTAAGTGGAAGCAGCACAACATAGTTTGAAGAACATGGGTGGGGCCAGACTCCCTGCACTTGGGTCGCGGCCCTGCCATCCTGCCATTGGCTGGCTGTGTGACTTGGGGTCCTCCGGTCTCAGTTCCCATGTAGCGGGGAGTATCCATCCTTGTAAAGATCCAGTGAGAAGATGCAGGAGAAGGATCGGGCACAGAGCAGGTGCTAAATAATTCCATGGCAGTGATGGTTGTCATGTTCTGGCTTCGTGTCTGCCTCTGTTTCCTGAAAGCTGAGCTTTCATTAAAACCTCCCTAGAAGAAAAAGGAAAAATAAAAGGCACTGGGGATACTTGGAAACAGCCCATATTGAAACTTTCTTTATTCCAGAGAGTCCCGAAACACTCTTGAGGGCAGCTGCTGGCCCCTGAAAGTCACTAGGGTTGTGTGAGCCTTCAGCCCAAGGACCCTGGTGGTCTGGGTCTTGAAAATTGTGCAACAGTGTAAAGGCTTATTGCTTTTTTTTAAAAAGATTTTTATTGGGAATTGGGGGATGGGAACAGCGCTGGGGAAGTGGGGGAAGGGGAACAGACAAGTTGCTGTCCTTTTGTTCTTCAGTCTAGTTGTGGAGGATGTTGCTTCACTGACCCAAGTTGGCACCATCATTGCGCTCTTCCCAGGTGAGGCAGCTCAGTCGCCGGCTTCTGGACGGCCGCTCACGGCGGCTGCTGGCCATTCATGCTGGCTGCCGGCTACACACAGTAGCCCATGGCAACCCACTGCAGCAGGGGCTGCAGCCTATGCCTTCGCCGGTGACTCACGGCAGCCCAGCTCCAGGTTGAGCTGTTGTTCAGCATCTTAGCTGTACAGGGCAGTGTCACTGGCCCTCATATGGCCGGCCTGGCTTATTGCTTTTTTACACGTACCTGTGAAGTGCAAGGTTTTTGTTTTTTATTTAAATTCAGCATTCTGCCCCACATCATGGTGGAGGAAATCATATTATCTAAGTTAGTTACAGATACAGTAGACAGGACTAGTATCAGAGTTGGACATGATCTGTACTGTAAGTAAGAGCATGCATGTGATTTTATAATATAAAGCACTCGTTTCAGTCCATGTCATCTGAGTCCAGGATTCTAGTAGTTGAGTGAAAGAATGAAAGGAAATGCCCCCGACTTTCGCAGGGTGGGGAGATGCCTTGTTAGAAGACACTCGTGTTGCCTCCAGGAGACCCGTAATGGTTCACCTACTAGGTATGGAAGCGTTCTGCCTCCTGCTTGTGAATTACAACCTCCTGGCAGGAGCCCCATCTTGAGACTTCAAAGACAGCTTTGTGACAAGCCGAGACATACGTTATTATCTTTATTCACTCTCTAGTGGCTCAAGGTTTAAACACAGACATGTGAGAGGAGCTGTGTTTCTCCTCAGCAGCCTCTTGACTCCTGCTGTCCGTTCTTGCACAGGATGTCCTCTGGGGTTTTATGGAAAGGACTGTGCGTTGATATGCCAGTGTCAGAACGGAGCCGACTGCGACCACATCTCTGGGCAGTGTACTTGCCGCACCGGGTTCATGGGGAAGCACTGCGAGCAGAGTGAGTATGAAAGCATGGCATCCCGAGACAGCCTTTCCCGCCCCTTTTCTCTAGAACCAGCTTTCCTAAATAATTGAAAGTATTAAGGCAGGACTCACAACTTTGAAGTTGTTTCAGCTGATGGCTGGTCACCAGCATGGTTGACTTTCCCTCCCAGAGACCTGGCCACCTTGGGATGCTTGGTTGGCTGTCTTTTTCCTCAAAATTCTCCTTCTGAGTAACTGCTCAGTGCTCTGGGTGGAGGAGCCGTGACTGTATGACTGAAGACAGAATTCACGTTTTCCATCTGCTCATCCTGGCTCCCTCTCCCCCTCCTTATTTTTGAAACGTGGCTGCTCAGAGCTTTAAAAGAGCCAGTCAAGCTTTCTTCGTGGCAAAGGTGGAGCCTGGCTCTCACACTGAAGGGGAGTGCGTTCTGTGGGACCAGGCTGAGTATGCGGGAGGCAGAGGGGCTGGGAGCCCAGGGCCAGCCCTGCTGTGGGTGAGCCAACAAGTCCATGCAGACATTGCCACCTTTGCCAACCTTCTCTAGAAAGTACTTGTATACAGTTTCTGCTAACAACTTCTCATCTTAATCTTCACAACCTTCAAGACAATATATTGCCTTAAAATTCTGTTATAAATATCCCATCCTGAGAGAATACCCTCTGTTGGAATTACTATCCTTGGCTTTCCATTTCCGCTTTACCAGCTATACCTCTGTTTACAGGGTTAGGAGAACATTGAGTCTTAGACTATTTCAAATTAGTTTATTGTTCCTTTCCTCTGTGACTTTCGGTATTCAAGAGGAATAAATAAGGGCTTATAGCTTATGGGGCTCACTCTCTCATCATAATGACAGGAGATTTCATTGTCGCCTAAGGGTCCATTCTTGGGACGGATGCAGCAAGGATTATGCGGCTGTAGGAGCTGTGTGGCCTGGAAAGACTGATCAGCATAGCAGGAATTTGACAATAAAATATCAGTCTCCCTCAGCCCCACCAGCATCTCATAGCACCACCAGACAGTCCAGTTATCTCAACCTTATGTGCTAAACTCTAGAATATTTTTGCATCTACTCCCACCTAGCACAGACAACAAGAGTGACATCCAAGAAGCAGCCTGGACAGAGAAGGCCCAATTTTAGCTGTGCTCCACTAGTTCATTTAATCATGAAACAGCGACTGAGTCACACAGTTGCCTGCACACTCATTTGTGTATATAAATATTTTGTGTGTGTATACAAAACATCTAAACATATGTGCACATACATATATGCAGAGAAACCAGAAGAGGCTCCAAACTGTCTTTCCCTTGAATGGCAGACTGGTTATGGCCTTATTAAATAAAAGCCTCTTAAGTGCTTCCGCGATTAGTCTGAACATCAAATTAAAACATCCCTCTTTTTGGAGACTTCTCCCAGTGTTCATTTGTAAGCAGAAACCCTCTGTTGAACAGAGAAATCTGATAATAATAGCACATTGCCCCCTGCTGCTCACTTCACAAAAAAACACCAATCACTGTTTTGTCATGATTTTTAGGTTTAACATGCCTATGCTGTTCTTTGAAATTCATGACCAAACTTAGTAAGACTACATTATAAAAACCCTCACTATTTCAGTCTCTCAGCCTTCCACCTGCAAATCCAAATTTTGAGCCATTCTATGGTAAGTGAAGTTCTTACCTAGAACATTGACAAACTTTGCCCCCTCCCTCTTCCCCTACTCCCAGCTAATCCAAGTCAGAATGTGGGAGGGTCCCTGAGCCCACAGGAAAATACACTTATTCCCAAGAAAGCATCTCTAGTTTATACTTTTCAGTTGGGTCCCCTTTCATCTCACAGTTTGGACTCGTGGAATCATCTCAAATTGCCCTAGTGATGATCTTCCTCAGTTCCATTGGATTTCCGCACACTCTCTACATACCCATCCTGGAAGTGGGTACATAGAAGCTGAAAGTCAGGAGCCATAATGAGGGACTCGGTCTCCATACCTGTATCGCCTGGCCTGTGCATTCCACCATGATTCAGGGAATGCTGGACAGCTCTGGGGCACCCTGGGTAGTACAAGTCTGCCTGAACAGGGATCCCTTGCAAGGGCTGCCTCCAGTCACACAGGGTCATCCAATAAGAAACAGCCTTGCTCCAGTTTCTGAAGGCTGGAGAGCTATATTGGACTTTCCTTTCCTTCTCAGAGTGCCCTGCAGGAACATATGGCTATGGCTGTCGCCAGATATGTGACTGCCTGAACAACTCCACCTGTGACCACATCACTGGGACCTGTTACTGCAGCCCAGGATGGAAGGGGGCACGATGTGATCAAGGTAAGGATACTAGTTACTAATAACTACTGCCTCAAATTATATGACCATCACCTATCACCCAACATTAAATATTTTCACCTGTGTTATCTGATGTAATCTTCATCACTCTGCAGGGTGTACCTGGCCATTTATTTAGTTGTCAGATGGATGCCCTATTGTTGCTGTCCTACAGATGAAAAAAACTAAAGCTCAGAGAGGCTGTGTAATTTTCCCAAGGTCACATAGCTACAATAGAATATGCCCGGGCTGTGATGCCAGGTTTTCCAAAGCTCTGAACTTTCCACTGTGCCTACATTTTTTTTCAGCTTTACTGGGGTATAATTAACCTATAAAAAGCAATACATACATACAATTATACTATATATAGATATACTATATATACAACACATATGCTCAGTAACACAAAGTAAATGAAGTTCGGACAGTTAAGTTCACAAACTTTCCACCGTGTGCTTACATGGTGGAAAGTTCGCAAACTTAATTGTACAATCTGATAATGTCTGACATATGTATACATCCATGAAACCAACACCACAGTGAAGATAATGAATATATCCATCACTCCCAAAAGTTTCCCCCATGTCCCGCCCTGCCACCATTGCCCTCTAGATCCCAGGCAATCACCGATCTACTTTCTGTCACTATAGATTAGTGCATTTAAAAATTTCACAGAAATGGAATCATACTGTATACTTCTTCATCTGGTTTTGTTTACTCGGCATAATTATTGTGAAATTAAACCATGTTGTAGTGTGTCAGTTGTTCAGTCCTTTTTATTGCTGAGTAGATTCCATTGCGTGGATATACCATATTCGTCTGCCCATTCACCTGTTGATTGGCATTTGGATTGTTTGCAGTTTGGGCTATTACAGATAAAGCTGCTGTGAACAATAGTGTACCAAGTCTTTGCGTGCACATATGCTCTTGTTCCTCGTTGAGTACATTTCTAGGAGTAGAATGATTCGGTCCTTTGGTCGGCATATATTGTAGTTAACTTGTTAAAACACTTGTGCCCGTTGTTTTTAACTAGGGTGTATGCCATAATCACCTGGGAATCCTTGTCCTATACATGGCTGCACCTGGGCAATTCTGATGCCCAGTGAATGATGAGGCTTTGAGGCCTCCAGAGAGCTCCTACTGTGTGCTGTGCTCCTCAGTCAGTAATAAGCATGATAATCACATGGGGTGTAAAGGCCTTAGGAAATTCATAGTGTTGTAGGTGAAGTCATCTCACACTGTAGGCTACATAGGTACTCATCTCATTTTCCTTCATAACTTTTACATTCTCATGATTTATATTTGACTGTCATAAAAATAGGATGCTATATTCCACAATCACATCATTATTACGTATGCATTGTAACCACACTGCACTGACCCTGGTGCTCTGTAGTTTAGGGCAGACTGTCTTATCAGGAGGCCTAGCATTAAGAATCATGAAATCATAGGGACATTTGAGCTGGAAGCACCTTCATGGAGGCCTGTTTCCTCACTTTCAGATGATGAAACTGCAGTCTATGAGCTTAAGGGAAAGTTCAGAATATCTGGATCACTTTTGTTTGTTGCCAGGTTTCTTAACTCTTAATCCGTACTTTTTTT